TAACTCTGTGGACAACTGTTTGACTAGAAGATAACTTTGTCATCCTGCTAGTCTGTAGGTGGTCACCGCCATAACGGATCACTTGCCATATGGAAACACAGTTACCTTGTTTTGCGTTATAAGATAATTGCTCCCCCCCTACATAGAATAGAACCTCTTGGTCAGCTCACGGCGAATCTTAAACTTTTATGTGTGACCTTTGCTTTACGCGGTGAAGGACAGAGTCTGAAGAATGTCTGCGGGCAGGAGGTTGTGTGGTGCTTGCGCGTGTACGGTTACGTCTCCGTGCTTCTATTCAAACACCGTCGTCACCTTCCGGACTGGTCCGTCCATCGCGGTAGGTCAATAAATCGGCCCGGCCGAGTCTACAAAACCAGCACCGAATAAATGTCATGATGCCGAAGGTGTGTCTTAAGCTGTAAAAAAGATTAGCCTAAGAAAAACCAAGTCGGGAGTATATAGAGTAACGGTAGGCCCTTGACCCCAAATTTTCGTAAAGGTACCCTATCTTGTGTTTTTTCCATCCAAGAAGGCTTCGGCCAGTAAAGGGAATTTGAATGGATGGGGTGGAAAATCGGAACACACCGAAAGGTGCAACCACAATTATACTATGCAATCGGGGACACTGACAGGACCAAACCTCCTGGGGTCCCTTACGCCCTAGATTAGTGCCAGAGTTCTTGAGTAAGGGGACGGTAATTGAGATAATGCGCGACCACGGGGACCTGTCGGATTGGTCTTCACTCAATCGTTAAAAGGGTATGGGCCCAAACGGAGCACGAGTCGGAGTTACCCTGAATAGGGTATCCTTAAAAACCTCTGTGTTTCAGACTTCTACTTCAGGTGCCAAAACAAGAATGGCGTGGTAATGAATTGTGTAGGTCGTACGGTAGCCCTACAGACACTTCTCAAGTGCAAAGGTCTTCTGCTACCCCAACAAGTGTTACGCCGAACTTATCCTTGAATCTTCAAACAGCTCCTTCAAGACATCGCAGGTAGCATGTGGCTTGTTGATTCGGTGAGGGGCGATTCAACAAAGGGAGCAAGGCCCGAACTTTCGTCCAATGGACGGGCGGGAGGACGTTTGACAATTTAGTTCTTCGGAGTGAACATTGTCAAAAATGAAAGAGACGGCGCCCGTAACAGCAAGCAAAACCCTTAACTAGAGTTCACACGCCGGCACTTGCAAACTTCGTCGCTGGGACAAGGACAAATCAATGTAAGAGAATCGTAGTTGCACGTAGAAAACGAAGGAGACCGCTAATACTTAAATCGTAAGCTTTTATTATCATCCCATTTGCTGACACTCCAAAATCAAGACGGCCTTGTTTCGGTAGCGGGGGTCACATATTTTGTCCAAAACGCAAAAAAAGGTTCTGACAAATAAGTTCGATGTAGGTTTTAGGGATTACCTTCTTTGGGGTAAACGAAAAAACAAGGGCCCCTTGGGTACGGCACGTGAGTAGGCCCATTTATTCATGCACAGTATGCGGACGGCGGTGGTAGGAATAATTTGCACCCCCTACCCAGTGATGGGCCAAAGTTGACCGAATGATACCACAGGTTTGATGTCACCAACAGGAACACCGGTTAAATTCTTCAACGGTGTTAACTCTCTTAAACGGAAGGTTTCAGGTACACAAGACCTTTCAACGAGGAGGAAGTATTATATGGGTCAAACTTTCGTAGGGGTCAAAGGTTTTTTGTCCATTTCCTGTTGTTTATTGGGGCGCTGTGTGTTCTAAACTGTATGAGTTCGACTTATAACACACACCCGCATTTAGGAAACTATACAAAGTTCGACACCGAGAATTGAAATTTAAACCCTATCAGGGTGAAATTCTTAGTATTTGTGGTGGGTAAAAAATGTGTTTAGTGGTAATTATAATGAGTAAGACTTTAATTTTTTAGAATTCTTATCGCAATGTTGGTGTAAAACGGAAACAGGGTATCTTTACACGAGTATGTTTGCTTAGATTTTCCTTCTTTTTTACTTACTTCTTCTTCAGACCAGTAGCACTCCGGAAGGGTTGGGTGGGTCTCCAAACGAAAAGGTTGCGAGATTTTCATTCCGAAAAAAGAAGGGGGACCATAGCGTGGACCACATTACTTGGGACAGAATATATCGGGGCGGGAACCTGTGGCCGCCGAGCCAGTCATGTGTAGGGATGGGTACCGAGCCCCGGTATTAAACGGAGAGAAAGCGCTCCGAGGTGTGGTTAAACTTTACCCGTCTCGATGTGGACAATCCTCGTTACCAAAAGTGCAATAAGTGTTTAGCATGTAAGGGCGGTAACACGAGCAATTTTTCGAAACATTTATCTAAAGTGCTCCACATTCAGACGGAGAAATGCACCGGGTTCCACTGTCTTTCTGGTAGCTCTGTAGCCCCGTCCACGAGTAACGTTTCCACGTCAGGTGTTATGTACGGTATGCTAGCAGCAACACACAATTACATTATACAAACATGGGTTAATGATTAGAGGTAACTGAGTTATTTATTTTGTTAAAGTTTCAGCTATTCTGTCATCAGATTATTTAGTACGATGTTTTAAAACATTGTTGTTTCTTTTGATGTGAAATATTATGTATTTAATTAAAATAAAAAGCACTGTTAGTTTTGTTCACAATTTTTATAGTTAGTTTAACTTGTTTTTTTCTCCAAAAAAAACAATAAAAGACCTGATCGATAAGCGGTATCAATAAAAGTAGTAGTAGGCCTACCATTAAAACCTTAATGATACCCATCCCTAGTCATGTGGATGTCAGTTTTACACACATTGCCTATGTTTTTGTTTTCATTGCTAGTTTATGCTTATGTTCAATTATTGCATTAAAAAATCATTAAAATCATTAATGAAGTTTCAGCTCAGACCCCACGCTTAATAAGTCTCCCTCTGGCCCACCTACATTTCTCCAGGCCCACCCACACAATAATTCCTGGCTACGCCACTGCCTCAGCGTAGGCCCTTGAGATAACAAATCAAAATGTTTGGGTGATAAAGTTTCCGCTGGGAAAACATTTTTTAAATTGTATTTCCTTCCAAGTTGATGGGCAGCCGACCCTAATGCCCTCTGGCTACTGTACAAAAATAATTATGAAGAGTTAATTATGTATTTTAATACCTAAGTAACAACACTTCCGAAACCAGATCAGATAATGTTGTCATATCATTTTTATCTAAAACTTGTTATTCTTAGTGTGCTGTTAAATGTAACAAAATAGGTTTCAGGTAACTGACCTGTTGGACTTTGCTACTTTTAATTAAATGCTCCATGAAAATGGAATTTGCAGCTTTATATCAAATATAAAACACGTAAGGGATAATGTGCTGCGACGCGGTCATTATGGGGAAAAGAACACCGACAGGCTGATCAGGAGCCCGACGCGAAGCGGAGGAATCTAGATCGGCATGA